TGACGCCTTTCTACACCCTCGGACCAGTCTCGGGACCCTGAGTAAGGCAGAAGTAGTGAGTTTACCAGTGGGGGTTACGGAAGTCAACACAGCCACAGCCACAGTCTCCTCTCAGGTGGCGACTGAGCCAGAGGACAAGGTTGGTGCGGTGGACCTGTCTGTGCTTGAGCCTGAGGAACGGGTAGCAGTCAGGTCTTTGTTACAGAAGTACCGCACAGTGTTCGCCGCTCATGACGGTGACCTTGGGTGTACCAACCTGATAACGCATGAGATCCCTCTGCTGGATGACGTGCCGGTTCGGCAGCGCTACCGCCGCATTCCACCGTCGGAATATGAGGCTGTGAAGGCCCATATTAACCAACTCCTCGATGCGCAGGTAATACGGGAAAGCAGCAGCCCATACGCCTCTCCCATCGTCCTGGTCCGTAAGAAGGACGGTGGTCTTCGCCTTTGCGTTGACTACCGCCTTCTAAACGGCAAGACCAGGAAGGACGCCTTTCCCTTACCGCGCATCGAGGAAAGTCTGGATGCGCTGTCGGGCGCCCGTTGGTTCTCAACACTCGACTTGGCCAGCGGGTACAATCAGGTCCCAGTGGAAGAGCCAGACAAGCCGAAGACGGCCTTTTGTACACCATTCGGCCTGTTCGAATTTAATCGAATGCCATTCGGCTTGTGTAACGCTCCGAGCACGTTCCAGCGCTTGATGCAGAGGCTGTTTGGAGACCAACAATGTCAGTCATTGTTGTTATATCTCGACGACATTGTTGTGTACTCCTCCTCCGTCTCACAGCACCTGGACAGGTTGGAGCTGGTGCTGGGACGTCTTCAGCAAGAGGGTTTGAAGGCCAAGCTGGAGAAATGCTTCTTCTTCCAGCTCAAGGTGAAGTATTTGGGACATGTGATTTCCCAAGAGGGTGTCTCCACAGACCCTTCTAAGATTGAGGCGGTGGCTGGGTGGAAGCGCCCTCAACACGTCACTGAACTGCGTTCCTTTTTAGGTTTCGCCAGTTACTACCGGCGGTTTGTTGAGGGTTTTGCCCCACTGGCCGCCCCTCTTCATAAGTTGGTGGCTGCGGTTGCTGGGACAAAGCACAAGAGGGGCTCAGGGAAGCCTCTGGGTGAGGCTTGGACCTCTCAGTGCGAGGACAGCTTTGAAGCGTTAAAGGCCAAGCTTGTCGCCGCTCCCGTGCTCGCATATGCCGACTTCTCCAAGCCATTCATCCTGGAGACGGATGCGAGTTATAGCGGCCTTGGGGCAGTGCTGTCACAGGAGACTGAGGGTGGCGTCAGACCTGTTGCCTATGCAAGTCGGGGTCTTCGGCCCACTGAGCGCAATATGACAAATTACAGCTCCATGAAATTGGAGCTGCTCGCGCTCAAGTGGGCCATGACCGAGAAATTCCGGGAGTACTTGCTAGGGCATAGGTGTCTGGTGTTTACAGATAACAATCCGTTGAGCTACCTTCAGTCTGCCAAGCTCGGAGCCCTGGAGCATCGGTGGGCCGCCCAACTTGCTGCATTTGATTTTGAAATAAAGTATAGATCTGGGCGCAGCAATGGTAATGCGGATGCCCTGTCCAGGCAGTACTTAACATCCTCCGAGCTGGCTGCTGGTGTACTGCCAGGCAGCTCTGTCCCGGTGGCCCTCCAACAAGAAGCAGGTCCACTGGTTGCAGGTCAGTCTCTAATCTGTGCCATCCCGGGGCGCTCCCTGCCCGAGATCCGCGCTTTACAGACGAACGACCCTTGCTTGAGGGAAGTCCTGGTCTTTTGGCAAAGACGGGCGCGGCCCTCTCCAATGGAACGCCGTGGCCTTTCCAGGCCAACCTTGACCCTCCTCAAGCAGTGGGATCGCTTCGTGGAGAGAGAAGGCGTGTTGTACCGTAGGCTTCTACGGCCTGACGGGGGAGAGGAAAGCCTCCAGCTACTCCTACCTGTCGCACTCAGGGAGCAGACCCTTGAGCAGCTCCATCAGGAACATGGCCACCAGGGCATTGAGAGGACCACTGAACTGGTGCGCCAGCGATGCTTTTGGCCCGGGATGTCTACCGACATTAAGCAGTGGGTGCAGCTGTGTGAACGTTGCCAGGTCGCTAAGGACGCTGCACCAGTGCCCCACAGTTTCATGGGTCATTTGCTCGCTTCTCGACCCAACGAGATCTTGGCTATCGATTTCACCCTGTTAGAGCCAACTCGTAATGGGCTGGAGAATGTTTTAGTCATGACTGACGTATTTACCAAATACACCATGGCTATTCCCACTCGTGACCAACGGGCTCCCACTGTCGCCCACGTTATCACCCAGGAGTGGTTTTACAGGTTCGGTGTTCCAAGCCGAATACATTCGGATCAGGGAAGATGTTTTGAGGGTGCCATCCTTCAGCAGCTTTGTCATCTGTACGGTGTAACCAAATCTCGAACCACCGCATACCACCCTGCCGGGAACGGTCAATGTGAGCGGTTCAACCGTACCCTACACAATCTTCTTAGGACCCTCCCACTTCCTCGTAAACATGACTGGGCTTCTTGCCTTCCCCAGGTGCTCTTTTCGTATAACACCACGCCGCATCAGAGCACTGGGGAATCACCATTCTTCTTGATGTTTGGGCGTGAGCCCAACCTTCCGGTTGATTTTGCTCTTGGTCAAGTACCGGATCCCCTTCCTGGGACGGTGCAGAATTGGGTGTCAGAGCATTGCTCGAAGCTCAAGGTGGCCTTCGCTAGTGCTCGGGAACGACTGTCGGCAAATGCTGTCCGGAGGAAGGAAAGGCACGATCTCCGGGTCAGGGAAGCCCCCTTGCGGGTAGGCCAGTTGGTCTACCTGCGAGACCATCGCTTTAGGGGGCGCCACAAAATTCAAGACATTTGGCGCCCTGACCTGTTCCAAGTAGTGAAGGCCCCGGTGGGGGAAGGGTCGGTCTACACTGTTGTTCCGATTGCAAATTTGCAAGCGCCTCGCAATGTGCATCGTGACATGCTTAAGGCCCATCTCATGTCTGGCCCCACGCTTGGACTTCCTAGGGTCGAATCAGTTCCTTTCGAACACTCAGACAGCAACTCTTCGGGAGACTGTGACCTTTGGATTTTGCCTCCTTCGGCTTTTCAGCTTCCGAACCTAGAAGCTCCATCGGACACTGGCCCGTCCGATGATCTGGCCATCGTTCCTTTGGAGAACGTATTGGTAGAGGACAGCCACCGAGACACAGAGAACGCCCCAGTACATGCTAGCCCGCCAGTCTTGCGTCGCACCACCCGTATGACCGCCGGGCAACACTCTAATGTCCACCATCTTCCCCGCCCCCTTGATGGGTCTTCTTCTGGGTCTGCGTAGGTCCATTCTAATGTATTATGTCGTCGGGACGCCGACAAAGAAAGGGGGGGTAGAATATGGCAGGTTGGTGTAGGCTGCCTTTTAAGATGGATTGTGGGTGGCACCGACGTAGCGTTGAAAGCCGGTTACGCGCACGGCGCGCGCTCATACACACACCAGCTTGAGTGGGCATTGTGGTGGCGGCGTGCTGTGGCCTCCCGCAACACCTGGTTCGGGCCTTAACTTTCCGAGCCCTGCGCTTCTACGCATTATCATCCAGGTCCAGGACTACGGTCTGGCCTGGCGCGCGTGGTCTTCCTCCTTCTCCTTGGGAGTGCGTGCGTGGTGCACGCGTCGTGCGCTCCAGGCCCTTCTCTGGGTCTGGGGCTGTTGTGGGACTTTGCCGTGATTCCCCCACGTCTCTCCCCCTCCTCCTGCTGCCTGCGGGTGCGCGCACTGTCACCGGCAGGCACGAGGCGCACAGCGTGCGTGGCCCACGTTGGAGCCGCCACCTCCTGTTAAAAGAGGCCGTTGTTTTGTCCCTCTGTGTTGTCCACATTCTCTCGTGCGTAAAAGCGCTCCAGTCCCATTCCGCACCCCTGGGCTGCTTCAGCGCGTGCTTAGTGCGTGCATAGGTGGGGGTGGACTCGCACCGAACAATTTAACATTGTTTTTTTTGTAGGCAAAGACTACAAGGAATCAGGGTAGTTTGTCCGCATGTCTGCTCCTGCATGCTTGTTTGTTTTTGTCGCTTGCACGTTATTTTCCTTTGCCTGTTTTCTGTGTGTATTTACCTTATTGTGCATGATTTGCTGTGTCTTATTTTATTTTTGCTTCTGTTGTGATGTTTGCCTATTTTCACAAGCTATTTGATTTATGTTTATTTAAAGGTGCTGTCCCCCTCTACTCAAGTAGCACTGTGTACATTGTTTATTGTTAAAGGTGCACTGTATGACGGTTGTTTACCATTTTTAAATAATATTAGGCCTATTTTAACTTCTGTATTTATTAAATAAAACTTATCTTTGTAATAAAAATTCACCTCCTTTATTGTCCTAACCTAGTGCGGCCTTCTGAAAGCAAAAAGATTAAATCAAAACCGTCCGGTCCCAGGGCCATTACCCTGGGTGGCGTTGCTGAATTTTCATTGTTCTACCACGGCTCCCGCCACACAAGGATGGAGGGGTTTAAGTCCATTTGCTTAGACCCGTGGTCACTGGAGATGGCATATACGTACCTGAAAGCTGATGGGTACATAGAACCCGATCTGTCAAATGAAGCGTAAGGAAGCAATTGAGATTTTACAAACATTTCTACAAATGACTTTTGGCTAATAGAGGATTCATTTTCAATTTCAGGAAATTCAGGTACACAGGATATCGGAGATTTGTCCAGTGGTGCTACGGGACTTTGGGGAAAAAGAAAAGGGTGCCATTACCCTCGTGTGTTCTGGTCCGAATAAGAGATACTTATCCTGATGCAGGTGGCACATATAGGGGCTTTAAATTACCAACCTTAAATTAGTTAGAATAGTAACTAAATAAATAGGAAATGTTTCAGTTGTATAAACATTTGTTTTATTACAATTAAAGATGTTTTGTTCACTCAGATCAGTGTGTTATTATTGCACAATGTTCAATTAAGTTTGAATCTTGTTTTGTGCTGTCTTATAGCATCTTCCTTTGTGACTTTATTGCACCCCTTTACTGGTCAGGGGTGGTGGTTTTGACTTCTCAGCCAAGTACTTCTCGCCAGCCAGTAGACGCTTACATACACAGGCCATCAACGGATCAATGTAGTCTATAAGTAAAATAACAACTTTCATGAATACAAACAACAATGAGTTGTAAAGTATTTGATGTAAATGTTAATGCTGAAAACTTACTGTAAGTGGCTCCCTCAAATATTTTGCATAGAGTGTGGCCCCCTTTCTTGAATTTAGGATAAACCAAATTGTATATATCCTGTCCATCCTTAGTTTTTGCCTGACTTCTGTTTGCATTTTCATTGTGGTGCAAAATGGCCAGACGATATCTATGAAAAGAGGTAGAAAAGGGCTTTCATTACAATAAATAATGATAGGTTAAAAAAAAAAACTGAGAAATGCTTACCTTGCCTCAATACCATGGTAGCTGAAATGAAGCATCATTGGGGCAAAGTGATTGAGGAGTGAGTGAAAGGATTCGACACCTCATTGCAAATAAAACTGAATCCTAGAAGATGGTGCATGCACTAAAAGATAAAGCCAAGCATTTAAAAATGTGTTAGAGACAATACAGGTGAAGGAACAGACTGTCAGTGATTTAGGAAGATTGAGTAAACGCCAGATAGTGCCTATAATAGATCCTGTGCACCACAGACCTCATGCTCAGCAGGGTGATGCAAACAAGAAAGATTATGCATTTCTTGAAGAGCTTATTTGCAAAAGCAGATAAGTGTCATTTGAAAATATTTTTGGATGCTTCTAGTTAAGTCTTTGTAATGTATTGTTTTCAAAAAGTGAATTGTATTTGATTGAGGTTGAAATATAATTCAAAATGTCGGATTAATTCAGATTCAGATTCCACTAAATATGTCAATAATAATTGACATATAATATTACTAAACAAATATCAATGCTCTCTGCCATTACTTAGAACGAAGATATCCAGTGTGGCATTTAAACTCTTCATTTGTTATCAGTTTTATTTAATCTATAGCACTACATAGAAGTATAATATAATGAAACCACAAACTGACTATTAACATATATATATATATTTTACCATATTTTTCACGTTATCTGAAATGTACATAAGCAATATGATCATTACAATAGTCAAAATTTCAGATTTTACATATTCATTTTGGTATACTCACGGCTTTGAAAATACTTTCTTTCCTCAATTTCACCATGCAAACAGGTTGGAAATAGTGGACTCTCATGTTTGTGGACACCTTTTATATGGTTGGCCAAACCTCTCCATATGGCTTCATTGACATCAGGATTACCATCCCCATTATTGGCACACCAATAGATGTGCTTTGAGATGGACTGTTACCATTCACTGACAAGACCACAGTCTCTCTCTTTACTGACTGCAAGAAGCTTCTTTCCTAAACCTGCAACAGCACGATAAACATTACTTAATTCTACTTAAAAATTAAATTCAAGTATGGCCTATAACACACCTTTGTCAAGATGCCAGATGTCGACACTGTGCTTTATATCAGGCTTTGTTGCTCTCAGCATTTTACGAATTGATAGATGCCTATCTGTAACCAATTCCTTGATGACAACGTCATTTCTGTTGAGCTGATCTAATGCTCGGAGTAAACCTTCTTTCGCCATAGCTACGCTTGAGGTGACCTCATTTGACTGAAAAACAAAGCATAGATAAAATATTTACTTTTTACATGCATGCATATTTATGAAATATAAACCGTCACCTGTACAAGCTGGGAAGCAATTATTGTTTTGCTTTTCCTCTCCATTACTGTGTATGTACCATACTTTGCCGAGTGCCCTAGGTCAAAATTACATGACACTTTACAAAATTACATAATCATGGACAACTACAATGTGGTAAAGCTGAGCAGAGAGAGATGAACCAGTGAATGCTGTATTTAACTGAAACTCATTTTTAGACGTTTCACTATGTGAGCCTGAGTATGTGTGTGAATTTGTGTGTGCAAGTGTGTTTGTGAGGTAAACTGTTTTGCTTGTATTTGATTTTAATGTTTGTAAAGGACTTTGTGTTGCATTTTGTATGAAAATCACTTCATAAATAGTTTGATTTATTGATCATCAAATCATGTACCTGGACTGTCTGCTCTTCCGTCCCCGCTTGCAACTATTCCACTTTGATTTGTCACTTTCACTTTTTGCAACAGTTCATCTTCATGATTCGTAAATACTTCATTGATCGACGAAAGTATCATAGCTGATGCACTGTACATTCATGTGGTGCAGCATACGAAGGGCCTTTGATGGGGCTAGGCCAGCAAAGAGAATTGCTGCACTCAGGCATACGTTTCCCACTCGTGTTCGCGACAACATTGGCTGGCTGTTCCACCGTCTCTCAAATCTACAAAAGCCAGATTGGCATTCTTGCTTTATGGATATTGCTGTTCCAGATACAGTGCTTATTGAACAGTCAGTTTCTGTCGTGCATTGTGGGCACATCTTAAAAAGTGACAAAAGGCTGCTCTCTGAAAGCAAGTAAATTTTTTCTCCCGGCTGCCATGATTCAATCCTGGAAATTACATTTAAAAAAAATGTTATTGTGTCTGAAATATTCCACTTTTTCGCCCCTCCACAAACTACACAAAATACATACCTTTCTGACTCTTCAATAATGTCCTGCTCATCTGCGATGTAATCAGGGTCATCAGCTTCCTCTATGGTGAAATCCTCATCCTCATCATGGACTTCAAAAATATTAATTGGATAATCCGAGCTACATGCCTTCTTGGATGGTAGAGTACACTGTATGGAAACGGTACGCTGGCGGGGTCGAACTGAAACTTCTATCAATATAAAAATGTTTAGCCGAGTTAATTAATAAATGGCTGAATAGATGAGTAATATATATATATACACACATACATAAACATATGTGTATGTATGTGGATATAACTGTACCAACATACCTTTGCTCCTGTACGTTGACTTGTGTGGATTGATCTTGAAGTGAAGGTGTAAAGGTGCCAATGCCATCATCTGACGGATAGTATAAGTGGGTCAAAAGTGTATTATTTTGGTGTTCTTTGGTGAAACACTAAAAGATTTAATTTGTAGGGGGCGCTATTGTACAACATAAATGCCAGTCATTTGCACATACAAAGTCCGATTTGAACAAAAATTGATTTGATTGTTCAACTCTTGGGTTTGAGTAAACTGTGAATCATGAAATGGCAGCAATAGCGCCCCCTACAGACTGATACAAGTGTTACATGGGGAGAATGAGGTATACCTTTTCAAAAGAGACACAATCACTGATCATAGGAATTCGCTCCCGTCAGGGCCGTAGAAAAATGGCTCGTCAGCGCCACCTCCTTTGCGCGGTGCGGCGAGGGCCGTTTGACGCCGCTTGCGGCTTTAATTTGTATTTAATCTCACCCCTCTCTTGCATGGTCTTGCTGTGAAACTAACATTGCACTGCATGGTTTTAAACTGTTTGAATTTTGAATTGATGTTTTTTAACAATTTGAATAAATTACTTTTAATACTCGTATGAAATAAATATTGCTGTTGTACTGACAATTTGAGTCTCCTTAGTTTAAAGACCTTATGACGGGTTTTAAAAAAAAAATAGTGGATATCAAAATTGCATGACAATGTCAATTTGAAAGAGATTCCGGCAAAAAAAATCCTATATTTTATAAAAAAAACGTGTTTTTCATGAATTTAAGTTGTCTATGCTCTAACCTGTGTGTGACGTCATAGCGGGTTACGCCCATGCATTGAAAACCATGGATCTATGCCACAGGACTGCCTTTTCTCTCTTCTCTCCACTGATGCCCAACACAATACTGCACTCTACAGGTGACAATTGCTCACTACACATAAATTGCCGTTTTGAGTGTGTGGGCAATCTCGGTGACAACGAAATGTTACATTCTAGTAGTTATCTTAGACTCGCTGTACACCGCCTTGTCATCTTGAATATCCGCGAAAAAAGAACGAATACCAAATTGTAAACAACTTACAGCGTTGAAACGTACCCGTTCTGACGTCACCAAGGGCTGTGAAGTTTTTTCGTTTCTAAAGGCGTTGCTATGGGGTTATTTCGATTTGGGGGGATCAGACAAAAAAAACAACAACTGATTTTGAAACCTTTAGTAGTTCTCTTCTAATATAAAATGGTATTAAAACTGTATTTCTAAATAAATCAAACCCGTCATAAGGTCTTTAATTGATATATTACAATGGCTTGGTCACATTCAGCATTTTAGCGAAGAAAATGGTCCAAACAAAGAAGACTCTGCAGACATCAATCAGAGGATAGGAAGCAGCTCATCACCAGTGGCCTACACCAACTCTGCTGCTGTGACCTGTCCTGTTCCACCCAGAGGGTGTTCCACCTCTGCTGCTGTGACATCAAGTGCTCCACCCAGCTGCTACACCATCTCTGCTGCTGTGACCTGTCCTGCTGCCCCGAGCGGCTTCTCCACCTCTGCTGCTGCTCCCAGCGGCTACTCCACCTCTGCTGCTGTGACCTTAAGGCCCCGAATCCACCGGCTGCGTAAAATGTACAACGTATCTGTTCAAACGTGTTCGTTTCATCTCCTTTACCATTTTCTCCATGAGGGTGAATGGAAGTGCCTCCACTGCCCGCAAAATGCGTCCGTATGACTGCTGAAGCCGGTATTGTTAGCTACTTTTGTTTTGTTTGTGTGTTTCTGCTGCTACTGGACATCTGAATTTTTCCAACAGGGGATCAATAAAGTAACCATCTATGAAGGTTTTGGTTGATAATCAAGCATTTCCCTTTGATTATGACATTTTGACGTTTGACAAAACAAACCAAAAAGCATGTTAAATAAGAAAAGACATTTTGACGTTTGACAAAACAAACCAAAAAGCATGTTAAATAGGAAAAGATCTAATTCATTGTTAAAACAAATAAAGGAACGTGAGAGAACATTGTAATTTTTTTATATCAATTCACCCAATTCCAGCTTTTTGAAATACATTTCAATGACTCATTTAAGCTTTGGTTTTATTTGTTAACATTTACTTTTTTATAAGACTCACTGACAAACAGCATGGATTTTATGAGACTCTCCCGGACAAACAGCATGTTGAAATCCAGGCCGAATAGTTCTGTTTAGCTGTGCATATAACTGAAGGATTGAATCTTCACTCTTTTAATGTACTGTGATTATTTGATTTTCAAATGCCTTGTGTGCTTGTATCTTGTTTTGTAACGCACTTTGAGTTGCCTTGTGTATGAACTGTGCTCTACAAATACAGTAAGCTTAACTTGCCTATTTTTCCTGCAGCCATAATCTTGCCTCATCTAATGGTCCATCATTTCCACTATGCTAACTAAATTCTCAGTTAACTATGTTGAATTCTGTTTGTATGTGTTTAAAGGACTCAAATGTGTTTGAACAAAATCAAGTTCTGATGATATACAGCAGGGGTGTCAAACCGGTCTTCAAAAGGGCTGGTCATACTTCCAACCAAGCAGCAGCTCATTTATGGATCAATGCGTTGGTAATTTTACATAATTTATTCCTTAAATTCATTCAATTGTGTTTTGTGTATTCCATCTATCCATTTTCTTCAGATTCACAGAGCACCAGCCCCTCACTGATCCTCCTGCGCGTGGTGAGTTCACAGGAGTCTTGATATTTCAGTGGGGGCTTTGTATACCTGTTTCATAAAACTTTATTGGCACTGTACTCGGTGCCAATAAAGTTACGTGTCACAAAAAAGGTTAGAAGATCTCTCCTCTTCAGAAGCCTTCATAGATCAGGAAAAGTGATTATTGTCCATCAGGGGAGCACAATCACTCCCCACATTCACAACAAAAACAGATCATCTTCAATAATTGTTTTCATTGCGGACCTTAAAACAATAGTGAACCTTTACTTTTGGAAATTGACCAGTTAGCGTTAGAATACAATGTGTGTGTGTGTCATAGACTGCAAATATTAACGGACGTAGTCACGCCTATCACCGCAGTTCAAACAAAGGGGCCAAAAATTGTGCTCTACTGGTGCTATCCAAAATGGTCCCGCCATGGCTCTATAATAACCGGATAGGGTATTACTAGCTTAAAGCTGTCCCACCCATGGGCACAGGGGGCGCCCGTGGTACTGCAGACTAAATTAACGAGGGCTAGCCATAGAAGAAAAGTCCCATAGAACTCAATGTAAATGAAAACAGCTCGACCTCAGCTGACAGAACCTACAGCATTCAGAAATATCGGATTTTGTGGGGATTTTAGTGTCCCTCGTCATCCTGAAATTTTTTTCTTCGTAAATCGTTCGGTTTTCTTTAAATCCACACTTTACTGCCACGAACTCTGCTGCTTTCCTTCCCGCTCTGACTCCGCTCTGCTGCTGCTCTGATCAGCAGCTGCCGAGCCTCGCTGCCGAGCCCCTCTGTGCACGTGCATGAAAGCCACACACACGTATTTGGCGCATCGCATTAGCCAGTTCTGCTAATCTCCCGGTCTCCATGAAGTCCCATGCGCTACTGAGCACAAACCATTAATTTGAATGTTCACAAGAACATTGTGAAAAAACGCATCTGCGCATGCGTCATTCATTTAACGAGTGCCTTCAAAAATTCACAACAACTAAACTAGTGGTCCAAAGAAATTCACTCCCCTCAGCATTGACACACATGTGGAACGGAGCTTTGGGCCAAGAGCCAACTTTTGGACCATCCTGTAAAGAAGTTTGAGAGGTAAGGATATATCCTATATGTTAACATTGGCAATTCTTATTCCGGGTCCACCCCCATCGGCCCGGGGTGGTATTGCAAGCATGTCAGCGCCAGTGGAGGCGGGTCCTGGCTCAAAAGTGGCCAAAATGACGTGCGCTGACATGCTTGCAATACCACCCCCGGGCCGATGAGGGTGGACCCGGAATAAGAATTAGCCACTGCTAACATATAGCATCTTCTTACCTCTCAAAAACGTCTTTACAGGATGGTCCAAAAGTTGGCTCTTGGCCCAAAGCTCCGTGCCACATGTGTGTCAATGCTGAGGGGAGTGGATTTTTTTGGACCAGTCTAGTTTACTCGGTGTGAATTTTTGAAGGCATTCATTTTAGTGAATGGGGCTCGTGCCGGCTGACATATGCGCAGTTGAGTTTTTTCACATTTTCCAGCCCCCTCGGCCATTTTGAATCACTCCATGAAAGCCCAATTTTTGGCCCATTAGTTAGAACAGCAGAGATAGGCATGACTACGTCCATTAATATATACAGTCTATGATCAGCGCACGTCATTCTGGCCACTTTTTAGCCGGGACCCGCCCCCACTGGTGTGTGTGTGTAGAAAACATGACAAGAGTTTGAGCTGTGTATGAATCTAATCACTCAATTAACAATGGAGCCACCATTACTTGTTTGTTTTTTGTCAATAAACAAGATCTAAAGACCATTTACTTAGACATATTGATATCTAAGAACTTTCTGGCACACTAGTATATTAGCCACACCAGCAACATTTTAAAACAAATTTAACACAACGTGATTTAATAAGAATGTGTTTAACAGCTTAACCATTAGTCATTCACCTGTCTATTTTGACAAACAAGTGTCCAATAGATACTACATCTTGACGGAGTCAAAATAACGAGTCCATAAACACTGCCCTGGCAACTCTGCCACAATGAAATTAGACATATTAGCCGCATTGCTATACAAGCCGCAGGGATGAAAGAAATAGAAAAAAGTAGCTTTTTATAGTCCTGAAATTACGGTAAGTAGAAACATATGGATTAACATGAAAAATAACAAGAAGGAGTTTACTTTTCAATGCAAGTCAATTGGAGCCAAAGCAAGTTGGAGCAAACTTATTCCATGAGCACTTTCCAATTGGGCTTAATTGAGCTTGGGGGTTTATATGCAGTCTATTATATAGATCTGAATTTAACATGGTAATGTCATTGAAAGGAAACACCTTGACCCGTGACTTAATAGGATGGGTCTGAGGATTCATCATTGCGTAACATTGAAAAATAAGCATTTAGGCAGAAGGGGTGGGGGAAGGTGTTTGAGCCAGATGTTCATATTAGCACAAATGGTGCTGAAAAGACAGTTATATCATGGTTAAAAGGAAAAAAAGATTATTTTGCATAGTATGTCCTTTGAGGGTGAATAGGCACTCATCCGTGATCGGCCTCATCCCCTGACACGGCTGTGAGCAGAGCGGACACTCAGGCATCCTCAGGGATCCTGGGGCGCGCAGCGGTGCACTCACACTGCTCTCTGTGCTGCAGGGGCTTGGGGTCTCCACTCTGACACGAGGGGCAACAGGCGGTGTGGCCCTTCCCTCTGCAGTTAGTGCAGGACAGCACCAGCTGGCGACAGTGTGTCGAGGAACACAGCTCATACTGGTCCCAGGGGCCACCACAGTATCTACAATCTGGGAAATGGGATAGACACCGGTTACAACTAAAATCATCATTATTTGTTTTCACTTTGATCATAAAAACATATACTGCAGAATATTTACTTTGACTGTTCATATTTTAAATCCCAATTATCTGGATAAACTTGATGACGGCCAGGATCAGTAAAACACCTGCATTCAGTTAACCTGGCAAGAGCCAGATTGATGATTGTGTAGAACTCAAACGCGTTCTCCACGATATCAATCTGGGATTTCTCCCAGAGAATCCTTTCGGGGAAAGGAGGGATAAGCAGCAGAATACTTCAAGCTGATTGGGCGAAGTGACGCTGTGTGCCCGCCTACCAAGGTTGCCGTCCAGAAATGCACAAAGCGCCTCTCGCTGTTCATCTTTCAAAAAAGAAATTGGAGATTCTGCTAAAACTGACTTGATAGCCTCAGCTACGCGTCCGTCCTCCTGCGTAGCCATGTTTGTTTTGCTTCGGCCCGGCACTTCTTGCTTTCGTCAAACCCGGATATCCCGCCCTAAACCCCCAGACTGGCGCGTGATTGGCTCGCACACCCAGTGGTTCGACTCGAAAAGTGTAAGCGGGAGCGGTACAAGATGTATTCTCGAGTGTTTGTGAACTCACAAATACCGCGAGAATTCAGCTTGCAGGCAAGGTTAGCATTCAGTGGTAGAATTGTGAAATTCCTCCTGCTTTTATAATTTAACAAGAACACGGAAGCTACGTCGTCTGCGTAGGTTTCCTCCAGGTGCTAGGTAAGAATGTAATGAGGGAGTGAACAGATGTTGATAGAATAGGAGGTGCACTGGAGAGCTCCAGGCTTACCTGAGAGGACGTCATCGTTAAAGGAAATGGCGTAGCGCTCGTCAAAAACAAACAGTTTGCCACGGTAATGGCCTTCGGGAAAGCGCTCCAGATATTTGTAGATCCCTCCTTTGAGCTGAAGTACATCCTTACACACCTTCTGGAGACACACAGGATGCACTATGAAGCTGCTTTAACTTATCCAGGTAGAAAAAGTAAAGGCAATATCATGGTGAACGGTTTAAAGCTTGGTGTCCACGCAGACAAACATCTTACAAATCAAATGAATATGATAAGAGTGGAGTTACAGCTGCTTGAAATACACCTCTATACACATAGCCTTATTGGCAGCTGTAATCATTTATTTTTGTTATGATGGAGAACACGAACACTGCAAACGCATTGTTTGAGCTTTATTTTGTGCAAACAGAGGCGCCTTGGTATGTGCCAACATTGTTAGAGGGACTTCTCAAAATTGACATAATCATGGCCTGGGCAGACCATGTGGGTACGTCATGCATGTCTTACGTATTGCAAATTGTTGGTTACCTTTCTGGTCTACAAATAACCCCCTTTCTGGCCATTTGTAGACCAGAAATGGGGAGCAGTGAATCCAGGAATTCACATTGTAGGATTTTTAAAGAATTTATTTGTAAATTATGGAGGAAAATAAGTATTTGGTCACTTCAAACAAGGAAGATCTCCGGCTCTCACAGACCTGTAACAACTTCTTAAAGAAGCTATTCTGTCCTCTACTCGTTACCTGTATTAATGGCACCTGTCCACAGCCTCAAACAGTCAGATACCAAACTCCACTATGGCCAAGACCAAAGAGCAGTCGAAGGACACCAGGAAAAGAATTGTAGACCTGCACCAGACTGGGAAGAGTGAATCTACAATAGGCAAGCAGCTTGGTGTGAACAAATCAACTGTGGGAGCAATTATCAGAAAATGGAAGACATACAAGACCACTGATAATCTCCCTCGATCTGGGGCTCCACGCAAGATCTCATCCCGTGGGGTCAAAATGATCATGAGAACGGTGATCAAAAATCCCAGAACCACACGGGGGGACCTGGTGAATGACCTGCAGAGAGCTGAGACCAAAGTAACAAAGGTTACCATCAGTAACACACTACAACAACAGGGAATCAAATCCTGCAGTGCCAGACGTGTCCCCCTGCTGAAGCCAGTGCATGTCCAGGCCCGTCTGAAGTTTGCCAGAGAGCACATGGATGATACAGCAGAGGATTGGGAGAATGTCATGTGGTCAGATGAAACCAAAGTAGAACTGTTTGGTATAAACTCAACTCGTCGTGTTTGGAGGAAGAAGAATACTGAGTTGTATCCCAAGAACACCATACCTACTGTGAAGCATGGGGGTGGAAACGTCATGCTTCGGGGCTGTTTTTCTGCTAAGGGGACAGGACGACTGATCCGTGTAAAGGAAAGAAGGGATGGGGCCATGTATCCTGAGATTTTGAGCCAAAACCTCCTTCCATCAGTGAGAGCTTTGAAGATGAAACGTGGCTGGGTCTTCCTGCATGACAATGATCCCAAACACACCGCCAGGGCAACGAAGGAGTGGCTCCGTAAGAAGCATTTGAAAGTCCTGGAGTGGCCTAGCCAGTCTCCAGACCTCAACCCCATTGAAAATCTGTGGAGGGAGTTGAAGGTCTGTGTTGCTGCTCTCGAGAAGGTCTGCATGGAGGAATGGGCCAAAATACCAGCTACTGTGTGTGCAAACCTGGTAAAGACCTATAGTAATCGTTTGACCTCTGTTATTGCCAACAAAGGTCATATTAAAGTATTGAGTTGAATTTTTATTACTGACCAAATACTTATTTTCCACCATAATTTCCCAAAAAATTCTTTAAAAATCCTGCAATGTGAATTCCTGGATTATTTTTTCACATTCTGTCTCTCACAGTTGAAGTGTACCTATGATGAAAATTACAGACCTCTCATTATTTTAAGTGGGAGAACTTGCACAATTGGTGGCTGACTAAATTTTTGCCCCACTGTATTTCAAATCCTTCCATGTAATTTTTTTGCCCAAAAAAGAATGAAAATTACAAATTCTCGAGAATAAAAATTAAATTTTACGATTAGATTTTTATTGACAATGTACTCAATCAATTACCTCAACCTCAAATGGTTACAGTGTTTCTAAAAGAAAACTAGTATATGTTCGAATCTGCTCCATGTGAATTGTGTGCTCCATATGTAATGCTGTATTGAGAATACTCTTTGAGTAACTGTATTCCGTTAGTTACTACTTTGAAGCCTAGTATTTAATACAGTTGCTTTCTGGAAATCACAGGAATACATATTTTCTAATACTACGTATTTAAAGTGGGGCTGTCAAACGATTAAATTCTTTTAGTTGATTAATCGCATAGTAATGTTTAGTTAACTCATGATTAATCGCATTTTTAACATTCTATTTCAAATGCACTCAAATTGAAGTTGAATTAGATTATAAAATGTAATGATACATTGTCATTCATACCAAATGTACTTAAATCTGATTTGCTCACAACCTTTCACTTTTGGGCACAACCAATTTGAGCTGTTAATGAAAGGGAAAATTTACGTACCCCAGCTTTAATTTAGCAAGTTTAGTTGCGTTTCAGGAGGAGACACGGACACTTCCTGAGGCCATAGTTCAGCTTCAGCGGTGTATTTATTGCATGCACAGGTCAAAAACACGCACACAACATGCAGAGAATAGTTCTGTGTGTGTATGGTCTTGGATATGACCACGTTACCGTGGCGCCATTCACCGTGTTGTTGTTAGCGGCTCACAGCCGCTGGAGGTGGGAACCGCTGTCCAGAGCGGCCGCAGCTGCCCCGGGTCAGAACACTGCGGCCACGGAGGGGGCGGACTTCAGTTCATACAGCAAACAACAGTAAGTGCCCCTCGATCACGCATGTTTTCTTTCCAAACTTGAATTCCCAGAATGCCTACCTGCTCTGTTGCCATCTCACACATGCATGTGTCCGTGGCATTCTGAGTGTTATTATGGGATACATGGGCGGGTCATTCGGAATTTTACGCGATTAATGAGAAATGTAATTAGCGTGCGTTAACGCGATAATTTTGACAGCCCTAATTTAAAGTGAAAAAAAAACCTTACATCCACGCATTACGCATCTAACAATATGTCTAGACAGCAGCCGGCATTTACCGTCTATGGCCTGCACGCAGCGACCACACAGAGGCGACTGTTGTTAAATGGTAGCTGTTGAAGCACTTTGAGTTGTTTTACAAAAACAACAATTTGAAAAATTAAAGACTGTATTGAATTATTTATTCAAACTTTTACTGAGGTTGTGGTTTAAAATATTTAGAAATTTACACTTCAAGATTTGTAAATAAACATGAATTCACAATTAAAAAAATATTTAAACACTGACTATATAATATATAAAATTACAACACTTCTTTAAAAAAAAAAATGTTTTTAAGTTTACAGTACCTCCCTTTTTCCAAAGTAACGGAATACTATGCAAAATACATTTCAGGTCGTGTATTCAAAATTCTGGAACGGAATATATTTTCAAAGTGTTCTACCCAACACTGGCTCCGTGTGCATTCCATGTGCTGTGCTATGACCTTGGAGTGCAGGTAGGCGGAGGCGCGTTCACAACGGATCCCCCCGGTGCAGTACATGAGCACACGCTTGTCCCGGAACAGCTCGAGGTTCTTCTCCACGTAGGCCGGGAAGTAACTGAACTTGCGGATGTCCGGGGCTAGACACTCACTGAACTGTCCCTATAGCGGGCACAAGGGGAGAAGCACGTCACATCATGTGAATGGAATCAGGTGCACAGTTACCGTGAGATCAGGATTTACCATTTTAGAAACAAACCACAATTAACCTTTTATGATCATTGAGATTTAACGGAATATTATATATTTTCTTTCATTTTTGTTGATATTTTTGTATATAAAGTGTATTCAAAATAAGAAAAAGAAAGCCCTATACCAACCAATTCTCGCAAGGAAATAATTGTGCACTTCAATGATAATAACAGATTTGTGCGCAGCATCAAGTACTGTGCACGTGTCACGACAGACAATACAGCCTTGATCTTTCAGCGGGGGCTTCTGGCAAAGTGTGGTTAAGTGCTTTGCACAAGTACACAACGATGGTAGACCTCGGGAGTAGGTGGAGAAGGTCTCGTGGTGGGCTTGAACCAACGACCTTCAAAGACCAATGCTCTACCAACTGAGCCACTGTCGCCTCCTACCAATAAATCCATACAATAATAAGCATGTACGTGAGTGTGGAAAAAATTTGGTTCACCTGTAAAATTATTGAAGCAGCAGAAGTTAATGTGCAAATTGTAGGGGTATGCTAGTATTAAAACAATGTAGTTCTGCAGTCAGACACAGATCAGAAATATACAACTTTACAAATTGGACTACAGTATATTATATTGCAGACATTTCTAAACACACTATTTGTCTTATTAAAAGAACCTTCTAAGCCTTAAACATAAAAACATAATAAACATGAACTTTTTACATTGTATCCAAAACAGTTTTCCAAATGTATTAATACTTTTGACAGGATTCTCAAAGGAGGCTAGGCAGTGCTGTTCCAAAGATATAAGTTAGTGTAGACGCACTATGTCAAAAACCCTACTATTCTGCTTTCGTAGAAGTTGCGGCAGTCGAGGAGGACAGTCTCCCTGCTTGCCTGCTCTTGAGCAAGCAGCGCCTCCACTTCTCTGTGGAACTCCTCCGGCTCCAGGTGAGTACCTGAAGTGCAAAGCAGAGAGGGGCCTGAGCGCTGTGCAGCCAGTGACAAATGTGTCCTTAAAGACGTAGCTGCTAAGTAAGACACTCTTGGATCATGATTTAGTACATTTTAAACCCCAATATTGATCTAAAATAATGTATCAAAAAGACACAAAATGCCTGCACAAAAATGCAGTTTCATCCGCCCCTTAAAAAGAAATTTCCACAACAGAAATTCTTGTTATAATAGGATTGGACTTTTTTACAAAACAAATTGAATATCTCAAGGCACACACCGGCTGTCTTGAGAGTACGCTTCTTCCGTTTTATTTGTTGCCAGGTCGCAAGAGCACCCGTCTAAGCAGAGACGCCCAGACTTCCCTCTTCGCACACTTGCTCCAGCTAGAACGGACTGGAATGTGCAGCTCTCTCGAGAGGACATAGAGTGCCTAGAGTGCCCACTGCATCACAGACCATCTACATTTTTCTGTGGATCACACCGTACCAACTCGGAAGAACCGCTGAGTTTAAAGCCCAGGGCACAGGGGGACAGTTGGAGGTCCTGTTTGCACATTTCTTGTTGTATTCCCTGTCTTTTTGCACACCCTGACTGATCCTATTCATGACAAATGTGAAATGTAAATTTCTCCATGGTAAGATCAATGAAGTTTTATCTCATCTTATTTCAAACGTATAGTAATTTAAAATAGGGCCGTAATCTTTCATAGTCTGCTTTTCAAAAACATGTTGAAAAAAAGATTTTAAAAAATCTTTCAGTGGTTCCTTGTTTATTGTGGAGGTTACAGTACGTTCTAAAACTAACATGTAGAAAGCAAAAGCAGCAAAATAGCAGCTATAAAATAGATACAAATACAGTGCCTTGCGAAAATGTTCGGCCCCCTTGAACCTTTCAAAATTTTGCCACATAAAGATATAAAAAAATTTTTTTTTGTCAAGAATCAACAACAAGTGGGACACAATCGTGAAGTGGAACGAAATTTATTGGATAATTTAAACTTTTTTAACAAATAAAAAACTGAAAAGTGGGGCATGCAATATTATTCGACCTTTTGCTGCAATTACAGCTGCAAGTCGCTTGGGGTATGTCTCTATCAGTTTTTCACATCGAGAGACTGGAATTCTTGCCCATTCTTCCTTGCAAAACAGCGTGAGCGGATGGAGAGCGTTTGTGAACAGCAGTCTTCAGCTCTTTCCACAGATTCTCGATTGGATTCAGGTCTGGACTTTGACTTGGCCATTCTAACACCTGGATACGTCTATTTGTGAACCATTATATTGTAGATTTGGCTTTATGTTTTGGATCATTGTCCTGTTGGAAGATAAATATCTGTCCCAGTCTCAGGTCTTTTGCAGACTCCAACAAGTTTTCTTCCAGAATGGTCCTGTATTTGGCTCCATCCATCTTCCCCTAAATTTTAGCCATCTTCCCTGTCCCTGCTGAAGAAAAGCAGGCCCAAACCATGATGCTGCCACCACCATGTTTGACAGTGGGGATGGTGTGTTCAGGGTGATGAGCTGTGTTGCTTTTACGCCAAACATATCGTTTTGCATTGTGGCCAAAAAGTTTGATTTTGGTTTCATCTGACCAGAGCACCTTCTTCCACATGTTTGGTGTGTCTCCCAGGTGGCTTGTGGCAAACTTTAAACGAGACTTTTTATGGATATCTTTGAGAAATGGCTTTCTTCTCGCCACTCTTCCATAAAGGCCAGATTTGTGCAGTGCACGACTGATTATTGTCCTATGGACAGACTCTCCCACCTCAGCTGTAGTTATCTGCAGTTCATCCAGAGTGATCATGGGCCTCTTTGCTGCATCTCTGATCAGTCTTCTCCTTGTTTGAGATGAAAGTTTGGAGGGACGGCCGGGTCTTGGTAGATTTGCAGTGGTCTGATACTCAATATAATTGCTTGCACAGTGCTCCTTGAGATGTTTAAAGCTTGGGAAATCTTTTTGTATCCAAATCCGGCTTTAAACTTCTCCACAACAGTATCTCGGACCTGCCTGGTGTGTTCCTTTGTCTTCATGGTTCTCTCTGCGCTTTAAACAGAACCCTGAGACTATCAAAGAGCAGGTGCATTTATACGGAGACTTGATTACACACAGGTGCATTCTATTTATCATCATCAGTCATTTAGGACAACATTGGATCATTCAAAGATCCTCACTGAACTTCTGGAGTGAGTTTGCTGCACTGAAAGTAAAGGGGCCGAATAATATTGCACCCCCCACTTTTCAGTTTTTTATTTGTTAAAACAGTTTAAATTATCCAATAAATTTCGTTCCACTTTACGATTGTGTCCCACTTGTTGATGATTCATGACAAAAAATAAAAATGTTATATCTTTATGTTTGAAGCCTGAAATGTGGCAAAATGTTGAAAGGTTCAAGGGGGCCGAATACTTTCGCAAGGCACTGTATTATACAATAATAAATAAAAAATAGCAGTAACCCCTCTTACAACACACTTTATTTACTTTTCTAACCACCGAAACTCCCAACGTTGTTTGTTGTAGGTCTGAGCGGTGCTGCAGCTGTCAGAAGTCGTGCATACACTGTAAAAGAGGACGCCGCAGTGAGGAGCAGAAGCAGGATTGAGGGCTACAGGATGCGTAGTCCTCTGAACTCATCACACAAGCCATAAACGTTTTCTTCTGACTTTAAAATAAAAGGTAACTGTCATGTAATACTAGTCACTAATAAAACTAATCAGTGTTCAAGTCTTATACCATGTGTTTCGTTCGGTTTTATCGTCTCATGAGAGCTTTTTACTTTTGGTGCATGTATCTTTTGTAGTATTTCAACTTCAAGTTGTACGTTCCCGCAGTACTTTAAAGTGCATTTCCATTTTTTGTTTTATTTACTGTTTTATATGATGTTGTTGGAGCGTGAAAGGAACGCTGTAAAAGAAGTATGCAAAATTGTATACACAAAAAAATCAGTGAAACCCCAACTGACCGTAGGCTGACATCACCCATAGTGTTAGCCTTAATGCGGAAGAGGCAGATGAACATAAACTACCTGGAGCAATTTGTTCGCACCATTACAGGGAGCCGGGCAAGCTGAAGTTTCCCATGTGGAAAAAGGGATTTTTGATTGATCAATCGTTATATGGCACATACAGTATCTGGATTTACAAAGACACAATCAAAATATCAAGATCACAGAGAGGGCTAAACCACAGAGAGCTAGATGTTTTAGCTAGAAAAAATGTTTTTTAAGTTTTATTTTCAATAAAAGTTTCAATCCAGGAGTCATGGACGATGTTTTGCTCCAACCTGCTCTAAGTACTTTGGGCTTCATTGAGCTTGGGGGTTAGCATTATCCATATATACAGTCTGTGGTTCCAAATGAAGACATGCACCTGCCAGCTGGTAGGAGAGCACTTGAGGGTCCACTCCCATGGGGACGATCTCTCTGTAGACCCCTACCTTAAGCTCTGTGAAACACTCTGCACCTCCAGGACTCATCTGCACAAAAAGCACAGACATGCCATTATTGGATGGAGTGAGTGCACGAATACATGCTCTAAAAATAATATATCTTTAATTTACTTTAATTGAAAAGCATATCACTCATGACAATTGACATCATAACATTTTGATTGTTGCCTTTCCTTTTTTTACATTGAAGAACTGAACAAAAACAAAAAAATAGGGTTGCGGAGAGCTTGATCTTTACAAGATATTTGCAAACATATGTGTAAAACCAAAGTCAGATCGCAAAGTTTTAACATATTCCAACCATTTGGACCACATTTTATAAAATGATTTAAGTTGTACTCTCAATGAAAATGACACCTTTTCCATGACGTAAATCTGTTGTACAATATGGATCCAGTCCTCAGTTGTTGGCCTATCAGGTTTGAGCCATTTCATGGCTTTTTTGCTCGCAGCTAAAAGAATATAGAGCAATTTCTTGTTGTTCCTGTGAACTCTGTCTAATACCCCAGTTGCTAGATATACATTTTCAAATGACAGGGGAAAAATCTCATTAGACAATTTATAAAAATGTAGATGAAAGTCCGACCAGTATTCCTGAATAAATTTACATTCCCAAAAAATATGATAGTGGCTTGCTCTAGTTTGGCCACATCGACAAACGTCACCCATCCCACTCTGAAAACTACGGATCTGGGATAGAACTAGGTAAAGCATTCGAGGGAGGACATTCATACTAATGGATTCAATTCAAGAGTGCAAGTCAAAAAAATGATATAGTATTCCATCTTCAGATTCAGATTATTTTATTCAGACATTCAAAAATTCAACAGATGCCAAACAGATGATAAATAAACAAAGTCTGAAATGGAATAGGCAGAAGCTAAAGCTTATTGCGCCTATCCCAGAGTATTTACAAAACATAAATAGTAAAGCTGCCAATGTCTTATGCAAGTAGTTATACCATTTTTTTTTTTTTTTTTTTTTTTTAGATTGTCACAAAGAAGAAAGAAAAAACAATCTATCATCTTAAGTTTGCATCCTTAGCGTCCATTCTCAATGTATTTTTTTATAATTGATTTCTTCAAAAGAATTTTAAATTGAATTAAGGTTTTACAGTCTTTTAGCTCTTGGTCCAACTCACTCCACACATTAATCCCAACAAAAGAAAGACAATGCTGCTTTGCACTCGTTCTTACATATGTTTTTTGAAACATTTCTTCCTTTCGGAAATTGTAAACGCAGTCTCGTTTTTGGAACAATCCCTGGATATGCACAGGTAACTTGTTATAGCTTATGTTATACATAAATTGTGCTGTTTTAAACTCAACCAAATCCTTCAATTTTAGTGCTTTTAGTTTGATGAAAAGCTCATTTGTATGTGCCCTGTAAGCCACTTTATTCACAATGCGGATCGCTCTTTTTTGGATGATACTTATTGGATTAAGATTGGTTTTGTAAGTGTTTCCCCAAACTTCTAGGCCATAGGTCATGTACGGGAGAACCAGGGAACAGTATAACATATATAAGTTGTTTTCATTTAAGAGTTCTTTAACTTTAGATATTATTGCAAGAGATTTACATAGCTTTGCCTTAATGTAGTTTATATGGGGCTTCCAGCTAAGCTTATTTTGTAAAAGTACTCCAAGAAATTTTATTTCATTCACTCGTTCTATCTCAGTATCATTTATTCTTAAATTTCTACACACATTAATCTTTGTAAAACAGATTTTCAAACATCTTTGTCTAATCTTTAATCATAATTTAGAGTTAGAATTTTAGTTTTGTTTACGTTGATATTATACCCTAAGAATGTAGTATTCTTCAAGTGCCTTCATTATTATGGGAAGAGTTTGTCTCGGTTGGGATAATGTCAGTAACAAATCATCGGCAAAGAAAGGCAGTTTTTTGCTCTTCACCTGTAATCAGTATCCCTTTAATATCATCTCTGTCTAATTAATTGGACAAGTGGCTCAATGTATAAAGCAAATAACAGCGCTGATAAATTGCAACCCTGCCTAGTCCCCCTCTCTAGCTCAATTTATTTTATGAGATCCCCATCAATTTTAGTTCTAGCTTTGGTTTCTTATATAGTGCTGATATTGATTCATAAAAGCCAATTTTTTTGAGAAATGTATGTCCACCTGACAAGAGTCAAAGGCCTTTTCTGGATCTACGCTAATAACCAGTGTCTCTTGTTTATGTTGGGCTACCTGATGCATGACGTGGAGTACTCTTCTGATACTGTCTTGTGTCTGTCTTTGTTTGATGAAGCCAGTCTGATCTTTATGTATTACTTGAGGTAAAAGGTTTTCCAATCGTTTTGCTAATATGGATGTAAACAATTTGTAGTCAATGTTCAGTACACTAATGAGTCGATGCAGTGCCTTGCGAAAGTATTCGGCCCCCTTGAACCTTTCAACATTTCGCCACATTTCAGGCTTCTGTTAGTATTAGATAGCAATATGGCCTACGTGCAGGACTCTACGAGGACTCCATGTTATGACTATGATTTGACTGTGTAGGGTAACTACTTAATATTGCTGATTATAATTACTTATTAGTATAAATTTGGTAGTGTGGAGCGGCTAGTCTCCGGAGCGGAAGCTCGCCGTTCCACCAACAGGTCTATGTTATTTATTTTGGGCACCAGCAGAGCTAGAAATCTGCACACAGACACAAACCAAATCTTTGCCTCGATATCAATCTTATAATCTAAAGGTAGAGAATACGTTTTATCCGCCAGTGATAGTCAGAGATCTAACAACACGACTCTGATAGGATTGAGTTAAAGAAAAGGGATTTATTGATTACAAAGTGGGATGAAGCATAACGAAAAGGGATTTCTGGTCACATTTGAGTAGGAACTGTACACATTTCATTCAAATTGAACATTTAACACTGGAGCAGTCTTACTTTGGAGGAGCGTAGAGGATGGAGAAGGGCTTTGGGTTGGGAAACAGCCCACGTGGTTTCTTTGTCCGGGCAGGCGGGAGTTATGAAGCCTGCGGGTTTGGTCCAGCTGTTGGTGCACGCGAGCCAGGGAAAGAGGCTGGTGATGAACAGTTCGTAGATTCCAACCAGAAAGGAGGCTTGCGTGAAAGCGGGAGGCCTCGGGCGGACGGCACAGTCGTTGCTGGAGGCACGTACTTGCGTGGCCGCAGGGCTGAGAGGGAGGTTGCGAGCGTAGGCCGTGTAGGGGACACGTACCCACGGGGTGGTTGTTATAGTGGATTCGGGAGAAACAAGAGAAAGAACAATGGCGTGTGGGTGCTCATATAGGCTTCCCAGGGGGCGTGTCCATGCCGCCCCTGCCCTCTGTGGACAGACCCCTTTTACAACAGACAGTTTGTAAAGGAAACACACAGGATTGATGCTAATAATCATAAGACATGTACAAACACACACCGTATTTCATTACTTTGACACTGATACACACATATGGGGCACAATGCAGATTATTGGAGTACTGGACCCAGGGGTACCGGTTCGCAATTGTCCGTCCCGGGTGTGATAGTGTCCATTGTTCACAAGGGGGCGTCAGAGCGCCGCGGGGGAGTCTTTGATTGTCCGGTGGCAGGAGTCTGTGAGCGAGGGCAGGGTTGTGATCTTTGATCTCTACAGGCAGGCAGAGACAGAGGTGCTTATCCCCGTGGTGACTTTATTGCTCTTTTTGGCATCTGTAATCCTCATGATTGATGGCGGCTTGTGGCTGACCCCATGGCTCCTTTGAAGCTGTATCTCTCCATTTGGTCAATGGTAAACAGAGTGGACAGGCTTGGTCCTGCCCTAAGTTTAACCTTACAACTGTCTCTTTGTGACACGTATGTCTTTCGATGTGTGACGTGACAATGACTATATAAACTGTGTACTGCCTTTATTCTGTCTGAGAGAAGGAAACAATGGAAACCAGTGGAACTTGAGAGAAACTTAAATAAACTTCCAGAGTTTGGCGCACCACGATCTGTCTCTGTCTGCTGAATCCTCGACAGATTTGGTGGAGAATGCGCGGCTCAGTGTGTGCCATTCTCTGGATTGTTTTGAGGGAATTTCCTCTGTTTCTTTTTTTCGGCGTGTGGGAGCAACAGCACGTTATCTGGAAGGGGAGAAATCCCAGCGGACGCTGAAAGGGCTCGCTTTTGGATGGGCTTGCTCTTGCTCCCTCACTTTCTCTGTTTTGTGTTTAAATTTAATTTTTCAACGCGGAAAAGGTGTTGGTCGACCTCTCGAACAGTCCAGACAAAGAAAATAAGGTAAGCAGACACCTTTTTTAACATGTAAAGTCTGCATAATTGGATACTAGCTAAATTTTGAGCTGTCCCGGAGGTCTGTCCAAATCTCTCTAAATCAAATTTTCTTTGTTATGTCTTTGTCACGTCTTATGTTGTAGAAAACAGGTTAGCTGTGTGGGTAACCAGTCCCTATAGGAAAAAGGAACCCCTGATGTATCGGGGTCCCTGTCCTTTGAAGTAGTCAGGACAGAGAGAAAAAGGAACCCCTGACGTATCGGGGTCCCTGTCCTTTGAAGTAGTCAGGGCAGAGAGAAAAAGGAACCCCTTGAAGTAGCGGGGTCCCTGCCTTTGGAGTAGCCGGGGCAAAGAATAGAGAATAGAAAATAGTTAGTGAAACCATGGTGTAAAATTAAAAGTAATTATAAAAAGGGAAACGTTAAACACTAAAGAGTGCCTTTTGTTACAAGTGTGGAAAGTGGCCATTTCTAGACTTGGATGACAAAAGTATAAACTACGACATCAGTTATATTCGCTTTAAAAAGTAATCTTGAAAGTTCTTCTTCTGTATCTTTCTGCCTGTGTGTGTGCGTCGCTCTATCTTGCTGCCGTTGTCAGGGGAAACGGCCCCCTCCTTTGCTGCTCTGGCTCTGAATCAGAGCTACTGCGTTTAGGATTTTGGCTTTTCATAGTTGTTATTCAGTTAAATTTGCGAAATTTGCCATTGAACATTGTGTTATGACACAGTTAAACGTTTTAAACACCATTTAGTAAAAAGAAGTTTTGAATAGTATGTTTTTCTAAATCCAAAGATTAGTACAAAAAAGCTTTGCTTTTCTTTTTAAATCTGCTGCTTATTTCTTAACTTTTTGTGAGATGTGTTTGTTTTTTATGTTTTTATTTTAGTTACAAAAGCTGTTTTTCAAACATTTAAATTAGAATCTGTGTTAAGTGATTATTGATCATAGACTTCGTCTAAAAAGAAAGAGGGAATTAGGATTAGCTGTAAAAGTATTATATTATTAAGTTAAACTCTACCCAATTCACCCAATTCACATTCAAGCGCTGACTTTTTTGTTTTGACTATGCACCTGACCTTGCTGCTCCTGCTGATGCACACAGCAGAGGAGCCTGGTCTGAAATGTGCTCCAATTCATATTGACTTAATTTGAAAAATGCTGCAATTATTTTAAAATAGTAGAATATATGCTGAGATAAATGTTCAAGTGCAAAAGGGAAATTCCATAAAGTGAAACCCAAGAACGCATAGATAATTAAACACACAGTACAAAAGTACATAATACATATTTTAAAGTTTAAAAGGTTGTTTGTTTTGAGTATAATTGTTGTTTTTATAACTTCTTTAGTTTCTGGTCCTAAAAATTTCATCATTAGTAAGATAGTAAGTAATCTTTATTTACATAGCGCATGTGGGAAAGCCAAGAGCGCTCCAAAATTGTTTAGACTTTAGAGAGAAAAACAATCTCATTCACATAGTGATATCTGTTGTTTTTAATTTGACTATAAGGTTGTGTTCCAGGACCAAGGGCACACACTGTACAGGGCCACTAGACTGCGGGAGTGGACACAGAGCTCAGACCACAGGAGCCCAGAGTAGACCCACCCAGAGCAGGCCACAGAGCTAAGAGCAAAAGGGCAACAATGCCACCTCTACGCCCCTCCCCCCACTACAGAAGTAAGTGGGAGAGAGACCGGCAGAGGTGGGACCAAGTCATTGTTTTGCAAGTCACAAGTTAGTCTCAAGTCTTTGCCTTCAAGTCCCGAGTCAAGTCCCAAGTCTTTGCCTTCAAGTCCCGAGTCAAGTCCCAAGTCAAGACAGGAAAGTCTCGAGTCGAGTCACAAGTCCTATCGTTAGAGTTTCGAGTCCTTTCGAGTCCTTTTAAAAACAGAAAAAATATTTAAACAGATCATGTATGCCTTTAAGATTTGTATATATTTATTAAACCTTTTTTTTACAAGAACATTGTTCAAACACTCATTTAACTCAGACATTCATGCCTCTATCAGAGAAAGAGCGCACGAGAGAGAGAGAGAGAGAGAGAAAGAGAGCGTGCATGCGCGAGAGAACTGGATTAGAAGTGTCATGAACATAACAATTAACAGAGTTGTGCTTTTCTATGCAAGGGCCCTATGCTGCATTGCATTTGCAAAATATCAAATTGGCCAACAGTCTGTCACTCATTTGAGCACGATGGGGGCGTAGAATGACACCACCATGGCTGAAAACTCGCTCCACGGGAGCACTAGAGGCAGGCACTGCTAACACTCTGATGGCCACTCGGTAGAGTGAAGGAAGAGTCTTCATGTTTAGTGCCCAGGACAAAAGGGCGCTCTCTCCATCGGCTATGTCTAGGTAGTGACTTAGCTGTAGTGCTGGAGAGGTCCCGACATCCTTCTTCTGCCTCTTACGGTATGCACCAAACAGCCCTTCTCCTTCACCAAGGTCCTCTTCATCACCAAGAAGCACAGGTTGTTCAGTCTCTGCAGCATCTTGCAGGATCAATTCTGGAAGAACAGTAGCAGCAGAAACAAAATAGCCTTTATTACCATTGGTGTTGGTGATACAGTGTTGGACTGAAAAATGCAATTATTGATGCTGTCAATTAGATCAGACGAAAGTTGCATTAAAGTCAATGGTATTTACCTTTAACTTGTTGTGCCACCTCTGCCTTGATGTCACGATTGACCAGCACATGAGGCTCCACCCACAGCAGAGAAAAGGCTGGATCCAAGACGGCTGCTTTCAGGTAGACTGGGTCTGAAAAGGGGGCAGTGATCCCATCTTGACTCCTGGCCATTTTCACGTTAATGAATATCCCAAGAAATCTTTTGTTCAGGGATGCCTGGAGAATTCTGACCAGGCCGCTAAGGAAACGAACTTGAGGCTTTAGCTTCTCAAGGTGATGATTGAGGGACAAGACGGATGGAACAACTGCACTGATTGTGACGACCTTATCACCCTGTGTCAGATCAGTTGCTTCTCCAAACGGCTTCAAAATGTCCACCAACTCCTTCAACAGATTCCACTCTCTTGGCGTGAAACACAACTCCTTATGCCCAGCCTTTTCTAGAACAGCACAGAGTTTTAGATGATCACAGTGGAGAACTGCCTTCACTTGCCTCAGTGTTGAGTTCCATCTAGTGTTTACTGCAGCAGGGATGCCTTTCTGTTCCCCAAATTCACTATCAAACACATCCTTGAATGTTGTGCTTGTGTAGAGCAGTGAGCTAAGTTTTGATAACTTGGAAAGAAAAGGACATGCCACTTTTGTTTCTTTTAAACCGTCTCCCACCACCAGCTGAAGCGTATGCGCAAAACACTGCAGGCGCTGTTTCCTTGACATAGCAGCATCTACCGTTTGCTGTTCTTCAAGGGATAAGTCACACCAGACCAGAGGGTCATCAAGATGATCTTTGTCATCATCCTCTTGTTCACTGGGGAAGCACACAGTGAATGCCTTTCGCATGTTAGCAGCATTGTCACTAATAATGTAGTCCAATTTATCTTTGATGCTGTATTCATCGCATATTGCCTCAAATTGGTCACAGATTCGTTCAGCTGTGTGTGAGCCTTTGAAGCGATTGCAGGCCAAGAGATTAGTCTTTAGCTGTATCCTCTCTGTCTCTTCTCTATCCAGTGGACAGTGATACCAAGGAATCCCCTCATCTTTCGGTCAGACCAAATGTCCACAGTGACTGAAACATGCTCAGTGTTGCTCAATTGAGTTTTTAATCTTGAACGTCTCTCCTCAGCGAGACTTTCTGTTTTTGATGTCATCGTTCTGCGACACACTGGGCTGTACTTCTTGTCAACTACTGTCAAAAAGTGCCGAAAACTCTTGTTTTCTACAATAGACAGGGGAAGGTTGCAATCAATTATCAAGTCGTACAGTATGGCGTTAGTGATAGCTTTCTGCTGTGGATGACTCATGCTGTAATAACCCACACGACCGTCCAAGAATTGTGAGATTGAAGGCTGTTGTGGTTCATCTATGATGCTTTTATTCATCTGGTATTCTTCAAATCTGTAACAGGTAAGCATATAAAACAGATATCAGAAAATGCTAGCATTGTGTTAATATTATGTTTTGGGGTTAATATTAATTATATTGTATACTGTAAGAGTGTGTATGTTTTAACATCACATTGATAAAATTTGTTGTACTGTATAGTGCTGTCATTGACGACACATAGCGTTACATCCAAGTGTCTTGTAGTTTATTATTTCGGTATCTGTATCAGACAGCTGCGGTCATTTCACTCCTTACACACAATTCATTGCAACACATCACTACCATTTATAACTCCGCCCTCTAGCCAGGCCTATGTTCATATCAGTGCGCGGAACTATATACTACGCTAAAACATTAGGGGAGGATTGAAAAAAAAAAACGGGCTTGATACGGGTTCGGGCCATGGGGTTCGGACAATGGGGTTCGGGCCTGAGAATTCTGAAAACCTGTTGGACCGGGCCGGGCTGGCGCTCCACCCCCTTGAGCCCAGATTATAGTCCCGTTCATAGCGCTAGCAGGGGGTAATTCCAAATTAGCCAAAAACTCGAGACTGGACCATTTATCAACATTTTTTATGTCAAACACTCGTTCATCCAAGACAACCCATAAAGGGAGCTTAACGTGCAAAATGGTGAACTTATACATACATGAGCCCTCTGGAGATACAGTTTACCACGTTTTTAAGTCAAGGTGGTATTAACAGTGAGTTCACAGTCTGCACAGTCTCATTGATATGTAGTTAGATAGCAGCTCAGTTACTAAGAACAACAAGCTAGTGTTCAAAACTTACCGTTGTTTGTGTAACTTCAAATGTCGTACGAAGTTCGAAGTTGTCGCGTCTCCGTCTGTTATATTGCTTCCGCATGTTTTACAAACGGCAGTTCTTTTTTTGTTTATCACCTGGTAGTCCTTGTACCCAAACGAAACAACTTTTGGAATCATTTTTGCTCCTGAGCGCGCGCGTTCAGCTTGTTCCCATTTATCGGTTGTCTCGTACTTTGATTGGTTGATGCTGTCAGGTCGAAACAACGTGGATCTAATTTGATTGGATATCGTACCATACACACTCCACGCTGCGTGACTCACGCACACAGATGCACAAAGCAGGTGTAAAGGGAGAAAGAGCGATCAGTGCCGCGTGAACATACTTTTTAATCTTTGGGTTCGAGGAAAGTAGCAAGTCTTTTCAAGTCAAACGGGTCAAGTCCAAGTCAAATCACGAGTCACTGATGTTAAAGTCCAAGTCGAGTTGCAAGTCTTTAAGATTTTGTCAAGTCGAGTCTAAAGTCATCAAATGTATGACTCGAGTCTGACTCGAGTCTGACTCGAGTCCAAGTCATGTGACTTGAGTCCACAACTCTGGAGACCGGGGCCATGAAAGTGGAGGTTTCTGGAGGCAGTGATGGGTGGAGGCCTCAGGTAGAGACCTAGAGGCAGTTGAAAGTGTGTCCACGTGGTTAAATCGACACAGTGTGACCTTTGAGACCTGCAGGTGGTTCGAGGAGTCTGGAGACACAACCCCAAAATTCACACCACACATGCACTCATACACTCACACATTCACATTTACATATAGATACATGAAAAAGCAGAACATGAGAAAAAAGCATTTTAAAAGTTTACTCCAAGGTAAACAAATATTTTTAATTGTCTATCACTTGAATCTTTATTTGAATCAGTATTTTTTGAGACCAGAAATGTTCATTTGAATTCTATATTGTCATGGACTAATTGACGTCTGTCCTGACTCTTTTGATTTGTTGATTTTGTACTGTGTGAAGTAATTACATTGATTAGAATTAGATATGATAAAAACACAAATTAGAGGAGTAAACTGAATCATTGCGCTTGCTTTTGTCTGAGGGACATTAGCAACAGCATGAATAGAAATTGTCTTTAGAGTAGAATCAAAATGACTTAACCATAGAAAGTAACTACTGCATAATAAGCTGTGTACAGGAACTGTGACACTGCACCATTGACCAGAAGTGCATCGCAAAGTGAAAAGACTGTATCTGGAGATCCGATGTGCATCTGGAGAGACCAAAACCATGGCTTGGACCCTACTGATGTCCAAGATGACATCTCTCGAAATATGACCTGACCTGATGACGACTGAGACTCACCCTCAGGGGACCCTGAGGACCTGAGGACCCTGAGGATCTGAGGACCTGGGGATCTGAGGATCTTGGAGAGAAAACTGGGGAGTGATGTTTATATTATTAAAATAATGCCATTGATGAGTGCTAAATGAGAGAGATACTCATGATTCTTTCTTTTGTTTTTGTTTGTCCCTAGCTTCTGGACATCTGATGATCTATTGGACACAGCCATTTGCAGAACAAGAACCAGCCAATGAAAAACGTCTATTGCCGATGCTATTGCTACAACCAGAACCACAACTGTGACAAATGCAATATACATGTTAAGTATTCAGACATCTGACAGACAAAAACTTTGAAAATGATAAAGTATGAGTATTGTAGCGTTTTAGTAGATGTTAAATAGTAGTAAAAAAGTAGAATTTGATTTCCTTTGTTGTTCATAAACACATTTCCACATAAGAGTTAAAATAGTACCCTACAATGTTATCCTTCTGATAGAGCAGATATAATATTAGAATCAGAGTTGTGTGTAGCACAAAAACAGTATAGTAGATATTTAGATATTGAGAAGTTTCCAGCACAGATTAGAGAATCAAACACCATTGTAGAGTAACTGACCCCAAACCTGCTAAAATAGATTAGCTCTTGTAAGGATAATACCAATTTGATTATTGAAGTACATCCATCCCAAACTGCCTGAGAGGAGGAAGTGACAGCACTTCCTGGTTCAACAAATGTATTTGGAAAACTGACCGCCATAATAATGTTCATATTAACCATTTGTCTTACTGTGTTCAGTTTTATTCCTGAGAATGTAGAGTAGACATAGAGCAAAATCCCACTGATAATAAGCCACTGATAATGAAAGTAAACCACAGAGAGATTTAAATATATGTTTAAGAATATGGCTCAATATAAGCAAATATACAAATGGCGCTTTCGCGAAAGTTCACTGTGGTAGACCCGGCTGCGGCTCATCCTCGTGTGAGATTTCATAACACTTTGAAGCAACTTTTGTTAAAGTTAAACTCATCATTCTATCAATGTGCAGAAGCCAGTACTTTTCCCTTGTTTTGTCTATCTGAAGGCCAAGCTACAAGCACACCGTGGAAGCTGCTGATTGGAGGTCTCCATGCCTCCGCTCTGTATAATACACTTGCATTCTCTTGTATCTGTGATCGTGTGCTTTGATCGTGCGGTCTCTACCATCGACAATAAAACATGTCTTCTGTCTGAATTAAAGACGCGATCCCAGACTATGTCATCTTCTTCAGGTGGTGGAAGGATGCGGGCCTTGTCTGTAACATCTAGTGAACAGAAGACTTTTTTTTTACACAAAAAGTGTTTTTTTTTTTAAGCCAAAACTGAGAAACCTCAAGAGAATGCATCTGAACCAGCACACATGGACAATCTGCACAGCCCCTGATTCCAGTCAGGCTGTGAGCTGCTGAGACATGGACAATACCAGCGTCCTCTTTTGCATGGACATAATTTGGAACCATTGGATTACACAATTTGGACATAATTTGGACTGAATTGAATTGCTGAATCTGGACACTAAAGCTGAAACGTGCGATTGAAAGACACGTCACAGAAGAATTCATGGCTCGGCACAAATGCAGCCTGAAGAAATCAACACGGAGAAGTGGGAGAGACTGTTTTCAAAGCAATATCTGGAAC